ACACCATGCGAGTGAGCTTGGAAGTGGATTCTTTAGCCCCAGATGAGCCTTGAGATGACTATAGCCCTGGCCGACAGCTTGACTACAACCTCATGACAGACCCTGAGCCAGTAGCAGCCGGCTAAGCCACTTGCCGATTCCTAGTCTTCAGAACTGTATGAGACAATAAAAATTTGTTGCTTTAAGGTGTTAAGTTTTGGGGTAATTTGTTACACAGGAATAGATAACTAATACATTCAGTGTGTCTGCCATGTTTCCCCTGATGGGTGCAAGATGACTGCCATAACTCCAAACACCATGTTCTCACAGGATAGCATCTCAGGAAGGAAGGAGGATGGAGCCAAAGGGGTTCTCATTATATGCTTTTCTATTTTTACCAAGGAGGAAAATATTTCTTAGAAACCACGCAGATTTCCCCTTGCTTCTCATTGGCCAGAACTAGGTCTCATGATCACCCCTCGCTGCAAGGAAGTTTAGGAATTCAGGCCTTTTCAGCTACTGTATAGGGAGGCTGGTAAGAAACAAGTGGGTTGCGGATGGCTGCTGGGTAACCAACAACAGTATCTCCCCAGCCCTTCCCATACTCTCAGTTTGTCTGATTGTTTCCCCTTGGCATCAAGTAACTTGTTCCTTCATACTCCAAATTACTATAATCTGGTAGTCAGGTCTCAATTAGATTCAGGGTGAACAATTTTGACAAGAATATTCATAGGTGATATTGTGACCTTCCTACTCTATCACATCAAGAAACAACCAGGTTCTTTGCAAAACTGATTACAACATCCTCACTGAAATTTCACAAGATGTAAGCAGAGGGTGGTGCATCCTCAATGAAAGGCCAACCCAGAATCTATGCCATCTTTCTCCCCAAGAGCAGTGTCCTGAGTGAGTTCAATATACCTTATCCTTATGGAAACACCAGGGTCTTGTGTAAATTCATTTCACGTGTCTTGTTGGAATTGTGCGTGATAAGAAACCTCAGTTTCTTGCATGTGATTTCCTCAGAGTCATACAAGTGGTGTTAACTAAAAACTAAAAACACCTGAGAGGATTGTGAGAGGACTTTAAAAATCAAAGGCAGAAATGTTGGAAAGTGATTCTTCCTTGATGTCATCCACTTGAAGTTCTTAGAGCTTTAAGTATAATGCCAGCAACAAACGGAAATGATCCATGAACAGTGAGCACAGCACAGGTCAACCCATGTGGCTCACTGGCCCTCGGCAGACAAGTAGAACATGCTGCAGAGTCAGCGCTTAGTGTCCAGGTTAAAGTTCCTATGGGGCCCCCCAGTGGCCATTCGTGCCTGTTCATGTGGAGTCCCTGGGTGGTACAGTTAATGAGCTTGGCTGCTAACTGAAAGGTTGGAGGTTCAAGTCTACCCAGAAGCACCTGGAAGAAAGCCTTGGCAATCTACTTCTGAAAAATCAGCCATTGAAAACGCTGTGGAGCACAGTTCTACTCTGGGGTCGCCATGAGTTGGAGTGGAATCAATGACAACTTCTTGGTACCGGCTTATTTGCATAGAGGCTGTGCTGCACCTGCTGTGGTCTTCACTGTCCCTCAGAAACTCCTTAAATGGGTTGCAAGAACCGCAGGGGTTGAAGATATTTTTACTCATTGAAAACCAAGGCTCACTCAACAGGCAGGCCTGAGGAGGTGGGGATGCCAGGACTGTGTCAGGACAACGCACTGGCCTTCAGGGTCCCAGCCTTCTTGAGCCCTCTGCCGCCCCCGTGGGCAGGTGGTCTCATTCCTTATTTCACTGAGAACACTGAGATGGCCCAGAAGAGAATACGTGCCCAAGGCTGTCTTCCCCTCAACAGGTCCCGTGTCCACCTCCATCTCCTTTCTGCTGCCTCAAGGGCGGGGTCGCTACCCCCTCTCTGGAGCTGTCCCTGCCCCTCATGGGCAGCTCCAATGTCTTTCTGTCATCTCAGACACATCTTAAAGCAAAATGAATCCCCATCCTCCACCTAGTTTCCCCAAGTTTGCCAAAGGCAGCCCCACCTCTCCTCACCCCCAGGCTAAAAAACGATGCATCTGCCATGACTCACCCTTCCCATCCAACCAGTCCCCAGTCCTGAGAGTCTTCTGTGACAATGCCTTCATTAACTTGTCTTCCTTCAGCCACCGCCCTGGCCTGGCCACCATCATCCCTAAGTGGATGGGTCCATCCTCCACCCTCGTCCTCCAGTCCATCTCATCCTCCCTCCAAGACTACTTCCTGAGAACTCACCAAGGTCCTCCCATACACAGATCAAGCCTTCTTCCTCTTTCATCCTCATCTTTCCATTCCACCATTTCTCCCAGGTCCATCTGTTCCAGAAGACTGGAAGAGATGCCTTGGAAGTGGATTCTTTAGCCCCAGATGAGCCTTGAGATGACTCTAGCCCCCACAGACAGCTTGACTGCAACCTCATGAGAGACCCTGAGCCAGTACCACCCAGCTAAGCCACTTCCCGATTCCTACTCTATGATAATAGACATACCACGTGTCGGGCATTTTACAGCCTTATTTTTGAACTTTAGGAGTTATTATCCCTTTTACAGATGAGGAAAACTGAGGTCAAATAGGTCACACTGTCTGTATATAGCAGAGCTGGGATTCAACACCATGTCTGTCTGGTCCAAAGCCCTTTTTCCTGCATACACTGCCTTCTGCCACACCTGTCCCTGCCTCTGTAAGGAGCTCATGCTATTCCTTGCTGTGACACCCTCTCTCTGCCCGGCTTCTCAAATCTTCCGAACCACAGCTCCACCACGAGTCTTCTCTGATGGTTTCAGCCCACACTCCTCACCCTCCTCTAACTTTTCTGGCATGAATCTCAAGCCCTGCACAATTTAGTACTTAATTATAGACTGCCTTGTATGGTTCTCAAGGATCCCTGGTAGCACAGTGGTTAAGTGCTCAGCTACTAACTAAAAGGTCAGCAGTTTGAACCCCAGCTGATCTGTAGGAGAAAGACATGGCAGTCGGCTTCCATAAAGATTAAAAAACCAAACCCACTGCCATCAAGTTGCTCATAGCGACCCTATAGGACAGAGTAGAACTGCCCCATAGGGTTTCCAAGGCTGTAATCTTTAAGCAAGCAGACTGCCACATCTTTCTATCCAGGAGGGGCTGGTGGGTTCAAACCACTGACCTTTCGGTTAGTAGCCAAGCACTCAACCACTGAGCCACCAGGGCTCCTCTGGAAAGATTACAGCCTTGGAAACCCCATGGGGCAGTTCTACTTTGTCGTATAGGGTTGCTGTGCGTCAGAATCAACTCGACAGCAATGGGTTTGTGTGGTTCTCTGGTTATTTCAGATTCACCTGCCTTGTTCCCCAAGAAGCCTGTGAGTGTCTGAGTTAGTGGACGGAGCTTCCACTTCATTCTCACCCCGCCAGGCACTGGGCACAGAACTGTGCACACAGAAACACTCAGTAGAGTTGACCTCATTTCCCAGGAAGGAGGCAGTGTCTCTATGTTCCCAAAGTTGACTGGACTCCGCCCTGTCTCACCCCTGCCCTCCACCCCAGTGGTACACTATACACACACACACACACACACACACACACGCATTCATTCTCTCTCTGTGTTACATACACTTTCAGTCAAAAGCTCTCTTTCCCAACTGAGGCAATCATGTACCTGAAACAACCTACTCAAGACAGGAAACTCGTAACTGAATCCTTGGCAATGCCTTCCTTCATGGAATTCCGCTACGGATCAGGCAGGCCACCAAAGTTTGTGGGACTCCCTGGGACTAATTAAACCATTGATATCACAACCCAACAGAGAGGCTGCTTTGAGCGGGGGCTTGGTGTCTCAATTCTAATTCTGGTCCTGCCACCAGTTGGTCTCTAGGGGGAGGTGCCACATCAGTGCTATGCGACATGCCCACGCAATGAAATGTGCAGGCTGTGAGGAAGACCTCTCTTCTCCAGGACTCCATGGCACAGCACCAGAGGGGGAGCTTCCACTACAATCTGCATGATTGGTGCCCCCTGAAGCTATGTGGTGCCCACCATCCCTAGGCTCCAAAACATCTCTCTGCCCTGACCCCACTTACAAGCTGTTAGTCATTGGAGTTGAATTGTGCCATCTCAAACTTCTCATTTCAAAGCGGACAGAAGAGTGTAGGATACGAAGCCCCAAGCACTTAGGATGATCTAGTTTTCAGATAGATTTCCTCCTGAACACTTAGGAGATAGCATAAGGCTTTGGGGGCTTGGTGTGAGGGTGCTTACGAAGGGTTAAAGGGTCAGTGAAGGGCCCAGGAGAAGAGATGGTGGTGGCGGTGGGTGGGGCCCCTGAAACAAAACTTCTCTTCTTTTACAATTTTGCCTGTGGCCAGTCCTAACATAGGAATAAACAAATGTGGTAATAAGCAAACTAGCGCTTGAGTAAGAACAAATAAAAATAATTGTGTAACACATCACACATACCACAGGGGGCCTGAGAAGGTGCCCAGTGACAGGCCTTTGGTTGGTGTGGGGGGCTAGGGCCTGGAGAGTGTGTCTCCGTCATAAACCGGAAACACACATGGCCGCCTAGGCCCTGGTGGGGATGGTGAGGGAGGACACTGTCTTCCAGGTGGGAGGCACCCCACTGATAACAATCAGCTGAGTTTACGCAACTGGATGTGTGGAGACGGTTGGGTAATGCCCGCCTTCTTGGGCCTGGCCCTGCACGGGAAGCCAAGATAGTTCCTAGGTACAGTGAGGATGGGTGGAGGGTTGCGGGCTGTGCCAGTGATGGATCCAGCCAAGCAGTGAAGCCAAGGGGAGGCTCACAGCATCGGGACCCTGCTCACTCATCCGGGGCTCTTGATCGTCCTTCAGGGCTGTTTCCTGGCGAAGCTTAACAGGTCCAGGTAGAGTCGGCTGCATTCCAGGCTCCATGCCTGGCAGGGACTCCTGGCAGCAAGTCCCGACAGTGAGTGACAGGCCCAGGCTCGGCAGGCCAGCGCTGAAGAGAGGTTCCTCCCCACCACGGGAGGCCCGAGGCTGAGGAGATGGAAGAGCAGGTGTTCAAAGGGGACCCAGACACCCCTCATTCCATCTCCTTCTCAGGCAGCGGGTTCCTCTCCTTCTACCAGGCCGGGGCTGTGGACGCCCTGCGGGACCTGGCCCCCCGGATGCTGGAAACGGCCCATCGCTTCGCGGGGACATCGGCAGGTGCCGTGATTGCAGCCCTGGCCGTCTGCGGAATTGAAATGGGTAAGGCCTTTGTTTTGGGTTCCCTGAGCCCCTTGGCGGGGGGTGGGAGGTCTCAGGAAGGCTGCTTTTGGAAACCAAGCCAGCCCTTCTTGGTGGCAGGAAATGAAGAGGTGAGTGGATGGGATAGTGGGCAGGGCCCATCTGGGCAGCTGGGACATTCAAAGGTCGAGGCTCCCACGTCTCAGTCTCTGGCCCATTGCGTGCACTTCTACCCATTCTCCCTCATCTGTGAGCTGCCCTGTGTCCCAGGGCCTGGAGTGAGCTACTACTAGGTGAGATCTAAGAGGGGAAGGCAGTATCTCCCTCTCAGACATCCGGTGTCAGAAGTTACACCATAACACAGTCATATATTGGAGTTAAGTGTTGCTCCTGCCAGGCCTCCTTTAAAATGCAGATACTCTTGGGAGGGGCAACACTTTATATCTTTAACGTCTTTCTGGAGATGGATTTGTCAAATCAGCTTCCAGCTGGCTGGAGTGATGGAAACCTTGGGGCTTAGAGGAAAGAGACCGGGAAAGGGAGAAACTGGGGTGGGAGGGGGGTGGAATATGGAAGATCTCAGTTCAGTTTCTGCTCTGCTAGGCCAGGGGCTCCAGGGGAAAGACAGGCCCAGGCTGCTGACCTCAGTGGGAGAAAGCGAGATCCCATGTTCCCAGGAGCCTCAGAGAGTCTAGACCTGGTACTAGAGCTCCCCAACAACCACATGGGCTGCCTTGGGGTGTGTTTTCTTATTTGCTGAGCACCAACTCTGTGCCAGACTCTCTGTCCCAGACACTGAGGGCAAAGTCCTTGCCCCCGTGGAGCAGAAATTCTAGAGAGAGGAGACGTTCAAACAGGTAGCCTTAGAATGAAATATCTGGAAGCGATACTATCTATAAAGAAAATTACAGCAGGATAGGGACAGAGAATAATAAACCGAAACCAAACTCGTTGCCATCAAGTGGATTGCTACTCACAGCGAACCCATAGGACAGAGTAGAACTGCTCCATAAGATTTCCAAGGAGCGGCTGGTGGATTCAAACTGCCAATCTTTTGGTTAGCAGCCGAGCTCTTAACCACTACACCACCAGGGCTCCAAGAATAATAAAATGGGGCCTATTTTAGAAAGGGTGGTCAGGGAAGGCTTCTCCAAGCAAGTGAGAGAACAAGCCATTTGAAGATCTGGGGAAGAACATTCCAGATGGAGGAGTAGCAAGGAAGCTTGTGGGCTGGGGAGTCAGGGTGAGGAGGAGGGAGGTGGGAGAAAAGGTAGGAGAGGCAGGGGCAGGATCATTACATCAGTTGGGTGTGTAATCAAGGACTAGACTGTTCACTGCCCTTAATTATGACAGAAGTTCAGGGAAGAATGAGAGAAATGTGGGACCTGCTCTTTTCACTCAGCATCATGCTTACGGGCTTTATCCACATCTCTCGAGTCTAGTTCATTCATTTTAACTGGCATGTAATTTGCTGTTAACTAGCATTTACTTTATATCAGGCACTGTTCTAAGCCCTTGGCATATTAAGCTATTTATTTCTGACCTGATAACTATTATTAACCCCCTTTTACAGAAGAAGAAACTGAGTCACAGAAAGCTTAAATAACTTGCCTAAGGTCATACAAACAGCACTTGGTAATAAAGCTGAGATTTTAATCCAGTCTGGCGCTAGAGTGTACATTCTTATTCTTACCTTTTAAATTACACTGCCTCTTGGCAAAGCAATGTCAGGGGGGTGGGGGTGCTGGTTGTATGGATAGTGTGGTCTGGGAATTCTCTCTGAGCAGGTGGAATTTGCACACAGACCTGAAGGGGATATGGGAGCAAGCCACGAGAATACCAGGGGGAGAGCATTCCATGCAAAGAGAAAAGAAACTTTTGTAAGGTCCCCTCCTCAGTTACAAGCAGAACAAGGACTAAGACTATGTCTCCTGTCTTTCTTCAAGGCGCTTTACCTCTTTCTATGTAGTATTCCATTAAGACTATAGCAGGTTCATTTACCCACTCTATTGATGGACAAGGCCAATTTTTTGCTATTATAAACGACATTGCAATGTTGTTTGTGTCTCCTGTGCCCATGTGGCACCTTTCCCTAGGGCATGCAAATCATTAACTTTACTGGAACGCTGGTGACACAGTGGTTAAGAGCTCAGGCTGCTTACCCAAAGGTTGGCAGTTCGAATCCACCGGCCCCTCCTTGGAAACTCTATGGGGTGATTTGCAAATCATTAACTTTACTAGACATTGATAAATTATTCTCAAAAGTGGTTGTACCAATTTAGAGGGACCTCATACCATCAAGAAAGCAGTGCTGGGAGCAGAGCATGCCCTTTGGACCAGGGTCCCTGTGCCAAGAAGCTCCTAGTCTGGGAGAACACTGATGAGAAGGCCAAGAGAGAGAAAGCCTTCTCCTGGAGCTGACACTCTGAATTTGGACTTTTAGCCTACTTTACTGTAAGGAAATAAACTTCCCTTTGTTAAAACCAAAAAAAAAAAAAAAAAAAATAAGTGGTTGTACCAATTTAACCACTAGCAGTGTATAAGAATTCTAATTTTTTCCACGCCACCAACACTTGGTACCATGACACTTGAAAGTTTTATATCAATCTAATAAACGTGAAATTATGTCTCATTTTATTTTGCTTACTTAATCTGCATATCCTGATCATTAGTGAGGTTGAGCATCTTTTCATATATTTACTGACCACCTGTATTTCCTCTAAGGAGCCCTGGTGGCGCAGTGGCTGCTAACCAAAAGGTCGGTGGTTCAAACCCACCAGACGCTCCATGGGAGAAAGATGTGATAGTCTGCTTCCATAAGGATTTACAGCCTTGGGAACCCTGTGGGCAGTTCTACTCTTCCTATAGGGTCGCTGTGAGTCAGAATTGACTCAGTGGCAGTGGGTTTTGTTTGGTTGGTATTTCCACTTCTGTAACTTGCCTGTTCATGACCTTTTCCTATTTTTTCTACTGAGTTACCCTTTTCTCTTTAATTTGTAGGTGTTCTTCATATATTCTGTCCACTAATCAATCAGTTATAGACACTGCCACTATTGTCTCCTATTCTATGGCTTGTCTTTTCATTTTGTTTATGGTATCTTTTGTCATTTAGAAAATTTTAGTTTTAACGCAGGCAAATGTACCAAATCTTTTCCTCTTACAATTTGTGTTTTTTAATAGCTTTACTGCATTATGATAATGATTTCTTCTAAATTTTCTTTTAAAGGTTTTGAAGTTTGCTCTTTCATATTTAGGTCAATCCATCTAGAATTCATTTCGTATGTAGTTTGAGGCAGAGATCTAAATTTCTGACTGCTTTGCCGTATGACAGCCAATCACCACACACCGTGATCCCATATGACAGAGTAGAACTGCCCCATAGGGTTTTTTCTCTCTCCTGTGGAGCCGCTGGGTGGGTTTGAACTGCCAACTTTTCAGTTAATAGCCAAGCTCTTAACCATTGCACCACCAGGTTCTTTGTAGGCAGGACTTTCCTCACTCCTTTCAAATGCGACTTCTCACATATTCTAATTCCTGGATTCATGTTTGTTTGTCCTTGGATGCTCTCTTGTCTTCCATTGGCTAATTTGTCTATTTCTGCACCAATATTACACTGTCTTAATCATAAAAGTCTGATAAGGGGCTATTATATGTCTATGCCAAATCCTTTGCGTCTTTCTGTTCCCCCCACCCCCGCCTTTGCCTAATTTCTTCTTCTAATATTACCTCTATTATTCTTGGCCCTTTGTTTTTCCATGTGAAAAGCTCTCTTGAGATCTTTGGTTGAAATTACATTTTCCCATCCAGAAATACGGTCTATCTCTCTATTCATTCTGGTCATTCTGTTCTTCAATAAAGATTTTATATGTCCTTTATCAGATTTGGGGAAACCCTAGTGGCGTAGTGGTTAACAGCTACGGCTGCTAACCAAAAGGTCGGCAGTTCAAATCTACCAGGTGCTCCTTAAAACCCCTATGGGGCAGTTCTACTCTGTCCTATAGGGTTGCTATGGGTTGAAATTGACTCAACAGCAACGGATTTAGTTTATTAGATTTGTTTCTGGACGCCTTATAATTTTTGTTGCTGTGGGGAATGGAATCTTTTTTTCTATGACATTTTCTAATCTAATTGATCATTGCTGATAAAAAGTAATGTTGATGGTTTTTGTATATTGGTCTTGTATTGAGCAACCTTGTTGAACTCTTAATCGTTCTACAGCTTTATTGGCTGATCATCTCATAATTTCTGTGTAAACCATCATGCTATCTGCATACAACCACAGATTTGTCTCTTTTTAAAAAGAATTCTTAAACAAGTGGCCCCCAGGGGCTCGCTCCCTGAAGCCATATCCCCTCATTTGTCCCCAGCCTGAGGTGTTCTGCCCTGAGGTTGTGTGCTTTGTTCCAGAGAAAGCTGAGGAGCAGTCAGTCTGTCTTCTGGCGATATGTGTGCCTTCTTCTGTGATGGGGCCAGTTTAGAGTGCATGAAAATGTTTATAAAAACACTTAACACAGTGTCTGGTTTTCATTAGAGATGCAATAAATGCTCACTAATTCATTCATCTATGGGAGGAGAGATGGTCTCCATGACAACCAGTCTGGGCTCCAAAATTTCCAGTCTGGTTAGAAGTGGGGCTGGGAATTTGCCTTAATGCTGTATTTGCATAACTTTAAAAAATATCAATTTTTCTTATAAAGGAACAGAGATTGGACCAACTTAAAACCCACTCCACCTCCACTGAAGCAACTACTAGGCGTCTTTCCCCTCAAAACAACTTCACGACATGCCAGTTACTCATTCAACAAGTGTTAATTGAGCATGTGCTGGCACTGCAGAGGATACAAAGATACTATACAACATGAAACTCTGCCCTTGCCCTCCAGGAGCTTACAGTCTACTCAAACTCGAAGGCAGTTGCCAAGTCGTTATAATATAAGAAAGCTCCAGGTGAATGCTAGAAAATTTAAAAGTGTAGGAGTGCAGAGGGAGGGAGCATGGAAGTGGCAATTGAGATAATGCTT